TGCTTTGAATAACTAAGTCACTTGACTGTCAAGCTGGCTAAATGACTGAATTGAAAACTTCTTCACAGTAGTGAACCCCCCCTTTGGGTTTTCAGTTTGCATATAGTGTAGTAAAAGAGGATTTAATGGTAGTTGACTTATAAAAAGCGTAGTTCACACCAAAACACCAAAAGACTGCATTCAACTCAGGATCAAAAATTGATTGTAGGATAACAATATATAAGTAAACAATTGACAAAGTAGGAATAAAAAGCATTAGGGGGATCGTTAGGAAGGTAAAGTTGTAGACTGAATATATATCTCTTTCAAACCCAAATATTAGGGTTAAGCCTCTGAACTGCCAATGCTTCTGCTATGATGAGATGGTGAATATGAACTTTCTTCAAAATATTGAATTTTATTTTAAAAGTAACTTTGAAAGAAGATTCTCCTAGAGTAAAGTGATCGAAGTTAACCAAACGCTGAAGAATCGAGCTGCTTATGGCTTTGCAGTTTCCTAAAGTCAGCTATATAGGATAGTGGTCGCAGATGCATTTGCATAGAATATGCTTTGTGCGACCTATGTGATCAGCTCCAAAACAGCAGATGAATTGATAAACACACATGGAAGTGGCTAAAACTGGTAGTTTTTCCATATCACATTCTCGAATCAGTTGTTGACTGAACAAAACAGTTTGGATCTGGGCGGGAAAGGTTTCTTGTCATTATTTTACACAATCGATCCTTGAGTATGTTTACCGACTTATCTCCTTTGAATTCCATATTCATAAAGTACTTTCTTTGAGAGCTTAGGGTTTCCTTCTTGGAAATGCTTAAACCTCATATTCCTTTCAATGAGTCTTGAAGGATAATCATTCTCGATTTACACTCTTCTGAGTACTTCCAGCTCCTCATTTATTGCATGATTTATAAAAATTCATCTCGTTCTTGTACACAGTGAATGAATTAGATTTTTGTCCTGACTAATGTAACCCAGATTTGGAAATGAGTATATTGTTCATTCCAGGTTCTTTTCATGTAGATCGGTCTTCTTAAGAAATCGTCAAGTCTTTTTCTTAATAAGACATCCAAAAGTGGAATTTTAAGCTATTTTCACTTTCATTCCCTAATTTTACCTTCGTCATGATCTTCTTAATGCTTTTTACTTAATTCTTTGTCTGTCGGTTGTTTGTTAATTGTTGTCCTGTAGGTAATTTTTCATCCTGAGTTGACCCTTATCCATTATCACCATGTGACTTTAATGAACATTTCTGATGAAATTCTATTGATGTATTAGCTATTGATGGACATAATAATTTTGTTGTAAGTAGTATTTACCTACCATTTCTAGATCATGGGAATTTTTATGCATTTTTCACTCATGTCAACTTCAATTGGCGCATCGAATATACAATAAAAATCATCTACCTGTTTACCAGCTTTCGATTTTCCACCACTACGATATACATCCCGTTAACCTCATATTTCAACTCATTCAGGTGATGAGTTCCAAACAAGACGAAAGGAGTATCTTGCATTTCATTCTGGGGAATATCCATCATAATCATCACTCAAAAATGTTATTATGTGTTGTGGATTAGTTCCATATGTCTTAGGAATTTATTATATAAGATTAGTAAACTTCTTGAGCATTGTCATAAAATCCTTTGAAAAAGCGCCGGCGCAATACTTCTACATTTTAACAAATAAAAACAAAGTACCATTTAATACTGATTCTGTTGATCACTTTGTTTTCCTCTTAGGAAGTTCGAAAAACCTAACTATAATTCATAGTGGACTGACAACTTATTGCTAATGTTAGGCGTTACAGAAATATATTTGCCGAATTCTTCAAGAGGTTATCAGGTGTCAATATAAAATGCCTACAGTTACTACTCTGAATATGCATTATCTGAATTGTGTAAGGCATAAATAACCTAATCTGTTCAGTGTGCTTCTTGAGATAAAGGCGAAACACAAACTTCATAAGAGAGTTGCTGTTAACAGATACTGAAATAAGAAGCTGAATCAATATATAAGCGTTGGATTTGGGCACTGTGACAGTATATTCCTATTAGACACATGGTAGACTTCAGAAACATGCCAACTTCTTATTTATCTAAATATTCAGCAATAATGCTAGGTCACATTGGAGATTTCTCAAAATATGAACTAAGTAACTCGTTTGAATTCCAACAAGGATCAGATTAGGACATGAAAAAATGTTAGGCTATGATGTTACCACGGAGTAAATTGTAACGCTTCGCATCATCATTGAACAGAGTATAGAATGGCAATCAACTCTCTACCTCAACTTCATCGATTTTGAAAAGGCCTTTGACAGCGTCGATCGAGAAACAATTTGGAAACTCATTCAACACTACGGAATACCACAAACCTTTATCAACCTCATTCAACAACTAAATGCCGACGCCACATGCCAAGTAATTCACAATGGAAAGCTCGGTGATCCTTTGAAGTGAAGACAGTGGACAGGATTAAGACAAGGCTGTCTAATGTCACCCATAATCTTCCTGATTGTGATCAACTGGACTGGATCATGCAACAGACAGTGGGGAGCGAGAAGAGGGGGATACGCTGGACAGGTGAAAAGAGCCCACAAGAAGATTTGGATTTCGCCGCTGATGGCTTGTGTCCGATGTCATGTGGCACAAACTTGAAGATCTACAGGCGAAAACTAACAAGTTGACAGAAGAGGTACGGCAGCGAAAACAGGACTTCAAGTGAATATAGAGAAGACAGAGTTGATGAAGATACCCAATCAACACCACCACCAACAACAACAACAATATGCTCCAATCACCATGAAGGGGAGAAAGTTAATGGAAGTAGTCGCTTTCATCTATCTAGTCAGAATAGCACTGTTTCAACTACAGGCACAGGCACAGATGAGGATGTCAAAGCAGCCAGATTCGGAAAGATAGCAAGACAGGCGTTGATTAACCTGAAATCAGTATGGAGATCTGTTTCACTGCACTCAGCATGTGGAACAAGATGCCGATTTTCAACACCAAATCAGTGTTTGTGTATGGTTGAGAGACTTTGCGTGTTACGAAAGGGATTTCCAACAAACTACAGACATTGATGAAGAAGTGCGTAAGCTGGCTCGTTACTGAAGATCAGATGGTGAGAAATAATGAGGAAGAAGGAGCTGTGGCTATCTGGCAACGAACCAACAAAGCAAGAACGTATAACTCAACAAACATGCAGGAGAAAGTGAAGATGGAGTGGACATGCACTCGTCGTTTCGACGAGTTGGGCGTGTGAGGTGAGTGTGACATGGAGGAGATGGTATGAGGAAGAAATGAGAGGTTGTGGGCTGTTGTGGAACCAGGTTCAAAAGATTTCAGTTAAGAGAGTGGAATTGAGATGTGCTGCTGAATCCGTTTGTTCCATTAGGAACCCAAGTGCAAATAATGAATGATAATAATTCAACATCTTAGAAGCGGCATTTCATCGCTTATAATGGAATAACTAAAGTCCATATTAGAAACTATTTATAGTTTGATAAAAGTCTACAAATGCTCTAGTCATTGGTAAAATAGGAACAGAGATGATCCTTTTTTACTGATAAATCATTTGTCTTATGTATCATCTATTGATGGAACTCAACATATGCTACTGTTATGAAGTATTATCTAAAAATTTACAATGCCTTTTAGGCTACTCTATTACTCATTGTGTGTACCAATGATATCTTCAAATTTGAGTTAACCATTTAAAACAGGCCAATATTCAAGAGAATAAACCATTTAAGAATATTTCATGTTGAACTGTATGAGAATAAAGTGGAATAGCTTTTTAAATACCATAACAAGAAGTAAGTGGATATTGTTCAAAGCGAAAATTCTCCGTTCTTAAGTCACTGAACAGTGACATATTCCTTTGAGTAAGTAATCGTGGTCATCTTCAATAAACCAGAATACTAATTACATACAGCTATACTATTAGGCAGAAATATGTATAATAATAAGTAGAAAATAAAGTGTTTTGATACTGTATAGTTTTCTTAAAATAATTTATATCACCTAGGGCAATATGATTAAGTATTGTTTACTCTAACGTTTCTCATCCAATAATATTCATCATTTTATGCTGTTAGAATAAATAGGTGAACAAAAATATATAAAAACATTTATTCGTTCACATTTGAATGAAATACATACATTTTTATTCAAGAGAGAAGTAAAACACCTAAAAGGTAGAACTTTTCCTTATGGACTAATCTCTAAATAAACCTTCCACTTGAATATGATTGGTTTAGATAGAATCCTGATACAAATCTAACTAGTTAGACTCAACCTTTCAGAATCAAGACATATTATCACTTTTCATGTTGACTAATACTTATTTTGTATACTCAACTAAAGGATGACTTAATGGATTTACATTATACTGTTTCTCATTATTATTTGATCAATAAAATGTGTATATACCTATTTGATGATAACAAATTATTCCCATGAAAGAACAACTTAAAAGTTCAGAAGTTTAGATACTTCAATTCTTAGTATCGAATAAAAACGTAATGGTATACATCCTGAGTAAAGCTGAATCGTAAACTGAGTACTATTGATCATTTAAGGGAGATATGCTGTTGTTTTTAAAAAGTATAAGACGGATATGGTTACTAAGATCAATTTTTAATAAATTCTCATCTAAGGAACCAATTTTTTTAGTCAGATTAAATTATCTTTTATTAGTTATACACATATTATCATCTATATTAGTTGTTAACTCTACACATACTATGCATAATGATCAGTTATACTCAGATACATTAAGTTTATTAACTGGAAATGTATCTGTTAAACTGCCACCTATTGGATTACCTATAATTTCTAATTGGCGTAGTAATGTATCTTTGGATTTCTTTTCTATGTCCAAATCGAAATTCAATCAAACGAACAAATTTTTATCATCAAAACCATATTACAATATTTATTCATATCAATTAATGGATATAAACAAATCTATTCATAATTCTATTGAACAATCAGTTCAAAGAATTCCATCAATATATTCATCGAATTATATACAACAATCTGGTCCATGTACACCTGATGAAGAAGTAAATAAACTACAATGTCTACGAGAATTACCAGCCGAACGATATGAAGTACTTGAAGGTGAAACAGTTTTAATGAGATGTCGTGTAGCCTATCAACGAGGTAAAACACAATGGCGTGCAAAGAATTTTTTATTAGGTAAGTCATTTAAACTTTGATTTTTTTTATTTCTTTGCAAAGTTTGTTTCAGTGTACCTTCAAATCAAATTTTATGATAATCATTGTTAAGAGTACTTAGATGGATGTATTACTTTACTGTATAAAGAATAGTTTCAATGAAGTATTTTTTTTTTTAAACAATAAACAGAACATTATCAATGATTATTTTTCTTAAATAATGAATTAAAAGCTAATAGTCATAATAGATATTTTAACCAACTTTCACTGCTTCAATACAAGAAGCACGAACCACTTTTAATTTACGTAATTCAACTAATTCTTCACCCTGTTAGAAGTTTATTTTTCTATAGCTTAGAGGATTAAAACATAGTGTCTTAAAATTTTCATTCCATTCTTTTCTTTCTTCTTTTTTCTTTGTGTAAATGTTGTTTTGTTCAGAAACTAAGTGTTACTGTGAAAGAATTTAATTAATTCCTTTGAAATTTTACATGTTATCTTAAAAATAAGAAACTTCTACATCTCTATAGGACATTTACTGTATACATACATATGTATACGTATGTTATTCATATACTTACAGTGTTAATCTTCAAGGTAATAACAACAACAACAAAAAATGTTTATTTTCGGATAAAATTTCGATACCCACTCTAACAAAAATATCGTCAATACACTTGTAGTGAAGCAAAAATTTCACTTTATCCCATCTCTTAATCGGTAATCTGATGTAAAGTTGATTGTTTATATCCAAGTCAGTTTTTGCACACCTGAAGTAACTTTCCTCCAATCGTCATTACTTAATGCCAAGAAAAAAAATCTTCGATAACTGGTACCTAGTATTATTGTCGTACACTTGTAGTGCCACTTACTAAGCTGAGTTACTCAGCTTATAGAGGCTTACAGAAGTTAAAACGTTCGTGTATGTAGACAGTTACAATATTCCTTTGTACAAAGATCTAAAGTGATGTAAACCGTGATTATTGCTGTTTACACTAGGAGATGTTCATTCAGCAACAAACAATCAAGGTAATAGGTGACAAAACGCTTTCTTATATTTCTTAAACCCAATCAATTACGATATTCTAATAGATTTACAGAAATTAAAATACCCCGGGAACACTAGTTATAAGAGAGTTAATTGTTTTGACAACTAACAGAATTTTTATACATACTAGTTTATTAGTACTAGGCTATAACTGATTTCGAATAAAGACACGGGTTATATCAGGATTTTAACAAGCCGCCAGTGGCCTACGAACTGAGCTATGAGACATCATTGTTTATCATATCTTAACTTCATTTCAATCACCAACTTTAGATAAACGCTATATGAGTAACTAGTTTTTGTTCAGGGAACATTAAACTCACCGTTTATTGTTTTTAAGTCATTACAATGGAAAATAAGACTTCAGTTGATTTTAACCTTCTTGTACATTGAGAAGTTTTAAAATATTCTTGTTTACGCCAGGCATCTTAAATTCAGCTCATCTAAAACAACAATATTTCGTTTTAATGATGGATTGTGGCTAGCACTGGGATCCAGGATGCGCATTTCGTCTTATTTGGGACTCACTGGTCAGTTGAATGTATCTGCTTCCCAGTGAGTGATGTTTTCACTGGGATTCGGACTCGGGTGCAATCGCTTAAAACGCCAGAGCGTTATCCACTACACCACCAAGCTACGATAGCCACTTCTTGTGCGACGGGTATAGTTTTAGTATAATTGTTTTTATATGATACGGTCGTTGATTGGATCGAATTGATCGGTCTCTATTGACATATGGGCTTCTGTGCCGATGCCTCGATATTGCCAGTGTTCTAATTATGTTAATGGTGGATAACGCGCTGGCGATTGAAGCGATCGCTCTCGACTCCGAATCTCGGTGGGAACAACATCACTAAGTGGGAGGCAGTTACATCCAGCTGACAAGTACCAAATAAGAGGAAATGCGCATTCCACTGCTAGTCACGATCTATCATTAACATAATTAGAACACTAACAATATCGAGGCATCCACACAGGAGCCCATATGCTAATAGAGACCGATCAATTCGGTCCAATCAACGACGGTATCATATAAAAAAACTTATACTAATATGTTGTTTCTCTCTATTAGCATCAAAATATAAAGATCATACAATCATTCACTTAGAGTAATTTGTTAATTACTTTAAGCGGATGTGACACAGTATCTGTTAAACTAAAAATTAATGAACAAATGAAAATTGAAAGGTATTCATTCACTCATTCATTCATTCATTCAAATCAGGAGATACAAGAAGAAAGTGATTTGAACAGAGACGAAAACAAAGAGGTTAAACTCTTTTCTCGAAATGATAAAAGTCTGTATTTTGTTTTAAAAATTATTTTCATTTAAAATGGATACTTTACTACATTTTTTCTTGGATTATATCCATATCTAAATTATTATGTACTTCACTCTGTGATCATTTTTTGTTACTTGTATTGCCTCGTTACTATGTAGGGTCCAATTACTCGATCTCAGTTAGCAAATGCGCTGTTCTGCAGATACCTAGATATTGCAGGATTTTGATAATAACGGGGAATTGCAAGTATCAGGCACTGATTGATAATCGTTGCACAAGAGAAACCTCTCGTCTTCTAGTAGCCTAGTAGGTAATACTTTGGAGTTTAAAGCGATGGACACTGATTTTGAATCTCAGCAAAAGTATTATCAGTCATTCAGGTGCGATTACATTCAGCTAACTAGTCCAAAATAGGACGACGCTCCCATCCTAGATTCCACTGCAAGTCACCAAGATGAGTATAACTATGATTATTACTTATAGTAAGTGTGCATGAAGTTATCCTAAGCTTTTACTTCTACACTTTGCATAGTATCGCCAGAAAGTGGCGAACAGTCACGAAGACATTGTATAATGCCATATGGGAGAAAGATGTTTTCACCATTAGTATCTATAGTTAATATACACTAGATTGAAGTAAATTTACTGTTCACTGAATTACTTAACATTAAGTATACTAAACAATGAAACCAAATGGAAGTAGTATTTTTGGCAAATATCCAGGCTATAGTTGTTGCGATTATCCTGGAAGAATTTGAGTATTGAACCTGATTTAATCACTATATAATTAAGTTTTAATATGATACCAGAGTGCTTCTAAGATACATTCTACTAAACAAGCTGTACCACATACAATTAAACGTTCAGAAATATCTTCTGATTTTCTAAACACCCTGGGATTGTATTACAACTCAAATAATGATTTATTTTGATGAAATTGGCCAACCATCGTTGGCATATAGGCATTTCTTTAAATATCTTGATACTGATGGTAATGTCATATGGATTTTGTGGATGAAAAATGGCTCAAAAAATGAATATTGGATGTTTAGGACTTATTAACCATATAAACCTGCCTTTTCGATGTATGATTTCTATTTTAGTGGCACGTAAATCTAAGAATGACTTTAAAATATCCCTAGCAACCACTAAAGTAAACATTTTCACTTGTAAAAGAAAGAAACATAATTAGTTATTTTAGCAGCTGCTGGAATGACCTTTAGAGTTCCCTTAAATTGGTTGTCTATATTAACATTTATTGATATACTTGTTATTCTCCGTTGTTTTATTGGATCGAACTGTTCGACCTCTGTTGATATATGGGTTCCTATGCCATAAAAAGTATGCCAATAAATAGTAATAGCTACTACCCGTTGTACAAGAAGTGGCTACCGTTCCTCAATGGCATATTAGATAACGCCTTGGCGTTTTAAGCGATGGATACAACGTTCGATTCACAGTGGGAACAACATCACTCACTGTGAGGCTGGTACATCCGGCCGACGAGTCTCAAATAGGACGAAACATGAGTCCTGGATTCTTCTACTAGCCGTGACCAAACAAATTATCATGGTTATCTATAGGTTCAAATGCAAGCATGCGTTTCGGCCAGTTACGGTGTCGAATCAGTTACTAATCATTCAAGGAGTTTGGTTTGATTCTGTAACTTTACCTAGTTTTCTTTCTTTTACATACACTGGTAGATTTGGGCATTTTTTTAGCTGAAAGAAGACGAAATAATTGAAGCTGTAGAGAAAACTCAAAGATTCTGTATACCGTTAACTGCAATAGTCTAGATTTGACGTTTTTGAATTCTTATCGTTAAAATACTGAAATTATGCAAGTACCTTTTAAAGGGCCTTACCGTTATGTTCCCATTCTGAAGGTCTGACTGTTTTTAATGGTCTTAACCTGGTTTCCGGCTTTTTGTTTTGGTCCTATGATTAATCGACAAAAGTAAATGCCAAGAGATAGTCACATCTACTATTCCTACATAAAGTTACAATATCCAAGTCGATCCTACTCCCCAAAACATCATACCCACTGACTCAGAGAGAAGACAAAGCTAGATTGCTAGCTCACACAAAGCAAAGTGTGTGGAAAATGTACAAGATCTTAGAAGAGTAGGTAGTTTAATCAGAAAGTCAATGAATGAGGAGAAAAGACTTACAAGGTTAAGACCACCCATGATTGTTTTATAGTTACTCTCATTCTTGTTGTGAGCGAATACAACACTTACAAAATTACAATGAAATCAAATGAATTTCCAACTCATTAATTTACTACAAAGTTCACTTTTCAAAACTGACATGTCAGCCTTGAAAAACATTGTGTATCTATTCATAACTAAACACAAAACGATTTTGAACACTGTAACTTTTTGTGTATTATGAAAACAAGAAATTATTCATCAGAAAATTTCAAAAAATTTGTTCATTTTATTGACTGATAAAGTCTATGTTATGGACAATAGAGTTTTCTTAATTCATAAAAGGTAGTCATTTATTTTCTCCGTTGTAAATGCATTTGAGCACACATTTTCATAGTTGAATGGCAATCGCATTTAAATACAGAATATATACATATCATATATTACCACTATTTGTCTCAGCCAGAATACTGTTTAAAGAGAAACTCTAACAAATCTGTAAATTATTGACCTCCATGTATAGAATTAAGACGCAACATTT